CGACCACTGTCACCTTTGATGCGTTGGCAGGAGTGATACGTTATAATAAGAAATGGTTCGACGAGGAGGAGGCTTACGTACGAAGTTTTCTCTCTACGGACAGCATTTTCCTGAGAACAATCCTTAAAAAGTCAGACTACTAGTATAATGGGAATCTTTGACTTGTGCTTACATCATGTCAAGTTCCTGAGAATCTGAATTATTGCGGCTCACGAATGTTCTAATGCTTTTTTAGCTTTTCCTTCTTTCTTCCTCGAATTTGACGGCTCATGTAATTTAACTCTAACACCGAACGCACTGTAAAGCTTTTCAAACATCAAGCGTTAATGTGTAAATTTGGGTGTGATTTCATCATGATACCTTTTGGTCTGAAGTTTAAAAAGTCGGTTCATCGTACAGCAACAATATTTCATAAGCAAATGGCAGGAGGCATAAGCCTATGAGACTCTGTAGTCACGAAACTATTTCTTAAGTAGACCAAGCTGCAGTCCAGCCAGGCATGCCTTCCTGGCTTTTAATGGTGAATTTAGCACCTACTTACGTCATTGCATAAATTATCAACGGAATTTAATGTCTGTATCGAGTTGAATCTGGACCGCCAGATTTAGTGAGACCTACGTATGAATACACAATTTCAATAGTCGACAATTTTAGTTTAGTACGATAGCTAACCTTAGGAATCGTAGAATCAAGTTATAAGATACTTAATTCGATGTGAGACTTACAATTCATATCAACTTATCATACGCTTGTGCACATCTCGGGAGCTTTCTCTTACATCAATGGACCTTTACTTTCTTTTAGCACATTTTAGTCCTTCATTTTCTTATATATAGTCATGGGGTAGAGATTCGATATAATTAATTTAGTTGGAGCACTATCGGGTATCCTCACCAAATGAATGAAAAATATTTCTGCTTATTTTGAAATTTTAATGAGCAAAGGGCGGGGAGGAATAGATGTATTAGATGCGGTAGATCTCTTTCTATGATGTAGTAAATGTTCAAGGTATAAGCTGGCTAAAAGTTCGCTAGTGATGGTGTACCATTTTATGATTGGATCACGCCATCGATGGTGAAAAATATTATCGACTACCTTAATGCAACATCGATAATGATTCGTTCGGAAAAAAGTTGTAGAAAATAGATGGATCATGGCCCATTCCTTTTCTCTTTTCTTATGAAATGCTTAATAATATCATAAATCCGATAAAACGCGAGCTAAAATCTGAATTGGTTTAAATCCACTCGATGATGTGCGAGGCGAATCTATGTCGGGCTCTTTCACGAATTCCAAGGACGGAGACCTTTCCTTGCGACAATCTCGTGTACTGACAACAAATTCGTCTTGAACAGATTTCGTTCAACAATTCGTGACGTGGACTGATGAAAGTTACATGGCATTTTTTTTTTGGTAAACATAAGGTACAATCTAAGTAAATTGAAGTTTAAAGTTTACAATCCCAACTTTATTACTAAACAAAACATTAGATAATTCTCTAGGAGCTTGCAAGTAGGACGCAATATCCAATCACATTTTCCTAGACTTCGTACCAGATCTTTGTCTTGATTAGATTGAAACGATAATGCCAATCAATGGTCCCGCTCGCGACCTTTACTGGTATGGTTGGACTCTGCCGTCGGTTTCAAGCGTATATTCTCCTTTACCCTTTATTGAAAAGAAAGAAGCCATCGTGACATGCTCCTGTCATCAGTTTCTTAAAGTGTCATCATTCTTAATCCTTGAATCAACTTTGCATGTTCCAAAGATCGTGTAGATACTTGCCGTTCCAACAAGGTTAAGAAAAACATCGATAATTAAACTCAAAAAGTCCGCTTATTCCATTACTAAACTAATATACAATATTGTAAAAAAGGCCAAAGAGATAAGACCAACTTCTGTATTCCATGACCAGGATTCATGATTTTCTTTGCTCAGTCAGGTATTGGAAGCGGGACAACTTCCATTTTTGTCTCCGTCTCCTTTGATTCCATCATCGTCTTGTTCAGATTTGGAGTCGATGAAGAGGAACGCCGACCATCGCACTTTGTGAGCCATAGCCAAGAAGAAGCGACGCAATTTGTCGAGTAATCGACCACCATTCTCTTCACTAATCTTCTCTTTCGCGGGACCACACTCCACTTCTTGATCCCGAAGCTCGTTCCTCTCGATATTTCCAGTTCGGCAGACATAGCATCAGCGCTCATTCTCGTGGCGTTGTGGCTCGGCTTTGTCTCGACAGCTTTGCCAGAGCCACGCGAGGCACTTCTTGATGTGTGGATAAGAATGTGTCAAATTACTCATCCAAATTGCTTGGACGTCACCCGAATTTGGGATCCACTTGATGGAACTCAAAGAGACCCATCAACTTAATTTATAGCACGAAAAGGGTTTCGCTTTAGCTGTTTACAATGCAATTACGCAGTCATGACGGATTGGAAGAGGCGTCGAGGAAGCATCGTGACGTGCAGCAATGCCCTGCTTATTGTCTTGAAGCAACAAGACCTATCGATAATTTTAAAGGGACCAGATTCCAGATTTGTCAATGCCCCTCCTTATTCGAGAAAGAAGGATAATTGGACCACAAATATCTGAATCCAACGCAACAAGATTTGTCTTCTCTCATTTGGAATTTAAGAAAGCAGTCATGATTGGGAGGTGCTCAGATAAGTTGCTTTTGGTCAGTACTAGATTCTGATCCATATCTAACCTCAAGGAACCGTTAGGACGGGCTTGGCTATAACTAGCTATTTGAGCAACTCCGTACCACTTAATGATTCGGTGGGACAAGGAGAAAAGAAAAATGATTAAGTAACTGTCATTAATTCACTATAAGATCAACTGACTGTTCTCAATTGCAAAAAAATAAAAAACAAATAATTAGTATTTATTATGGAGTTTACTTTTTCAATAATTTCTGCTCTTAACATACTTCTACCCTTACAAGAAACTATTCAGTGATTGGAAAGGGCCAAGTCAATCGTTGACTTGGCATGTATTTTTTACTCATGTCCAATAATAGGTTAACACTTGTCAGTTGAGGCGGAATAAAAAATATAAAAATTTGATTTTTATCTTCTTCTTCCTCTTGGTTGTCATCCAAGGCCGTCGGTGCCGTGTACAAGCATCTTTTTTGCCGACTCTTCAGATCCGGTAACACCGGCCATGGACGAGTAAGGACGACGAAGGGGTGTTCGGCTCGGAAGCATAGCAGTGTAGGCGGATCCGATTGAGGAGGTTGGGGAATTTTGGATTTGGCGACCGGATCTGGACTTTGATGCTTGTAATTGTTACTGTGGAGCATCGAAGGCGAGCGACGAAGGCGAAAACGCACCAGTGTAGGTGGACGAGCAAAACTCTTAGCCATGGGCGAGGCTAGATCGGGACGAGCAATGGTGGAGCCGACCGCGAGCGATGACGGAGGTGTAGCTTGGCACGACTGCAAGCGATGCCGAAAGACTTTGTTGCTTGTAGTTGTTGCCGTCGGTGGATGGACAAACTTCAGTCATGGCTCGTTGCAGTATCATTGCCGCCAGTGGATGAACGAACAAAGCTTTCGATCTCAACCATGGGCGAGGTCAGATCTTAACAAGCAACAATGGAGCCGACCGCGAGCAATGACGGAGGTGTAGCTTAGGATGACCGCGAGCAATGTCGGAGGGGATAGAGATGGTGGTTGGAGGGGTGGTGCTCTGTGATGGAGGAAAACCGATCGCAAGCGACGCCGGAAGGGGGTGAAGATGGTGGCCAAAGTGGTGGTGCTTTGTAATGGAGGAAGAAGAAGAAGATAAAAATCAAAATTTTATTTTTTTATCCATCTCAACTGACACTTGTCAACTTATTATTGGATGTGAGTAAAAAATGCGCGTCATATCATCGATTGACGTGATGCTTTGCAACCATTGAATAATTTCTTGTATTATTGAAATATTCCTTTACTAATCTTTGTGGAGATAGATGACACATGTCAACCAAGGGTTTTGATAGCATAAAAATGTATGCTACTTCAATGATTGACGTGGCGCTTTACAACCACCAAATATTTTCTTTTTCTATTAAAGTATTCCTTTACTAATCTTTGTGAGAGCAGAGGCCTACTTGACCTCGCCTTCGTTGCAAGTGGTTCCAGTTTTAGTCTTCTAAACTTTGATTTTTAAAAGCTAAAATTGGATTTAAACCTAAATGTCCAAATTAGATTGGGAAAAGAAATTACCCTTTTTTTCGCAAACAAGCGTCTTGAGTTGAGTTTAAGAAACAGTCTCTACTAGCAATAAAACTTAGAATTTTCTAATAAATTCTATATACATTAAAGTGATTTACAATGATGATGTGATATGCTTGGAATGTTAGTTTGATTTTCTTATTTATTTTTAATATTGGTTAGAGTTGTTGGGTACTCAAAAACTCCACTCGTATATTAATTTTAGGTGTTTAGACAATATTAAAAACCCAATTCTTCACTCTTTTCTTGGTTTGTGAATTTCAAAAAGCAAATTTAAGTATTTTTAGCCATGAAGTTCATTGTTAAAAAGATAATAATTTGGCTTGCCGCTGCCTATAAAAAATATCATCGTTACCGTACTACGACAATCAATGAAATATTCATTTACTTGGGTTCTAACTTACGTCTCCTAGGTACTAAAATCACACAACCTTCTCTAATCTGCATCGTTCCTAAACAGTGAATTTAAACAATATAAACTCTATTCGTTAATTTCATAGGCATTATTAACGATATCTATGGATATATGCAAGATTAGTACCTTCTCCGAGTACTTTGTCCCTACAATTTATAGATTACGTGACCATCCATTGCATCCTCAAATCTCAATTATCTATTAATCATACTTAAATATTAATACTAATATGATGTATTAGAGATATCTACGCAATAATAAGTTTATTATTATTTTTAAGTGAATTAAAATCAAATCATATACTGACTTCTATAATTTATATATATATACATACACATACACACATATTCATTTTTTGTAAGTGCCAATATGGAAACCGACCTTTCTTTCATGTTCGGTTCAATCAACAGTTTAACCTTCGCAGCTTCTTCGCTCCTCTATTGAAGCCGAACCACGCAGCTCTGGTTCACTGGGCATTGCCTTAGCGGCGAAATCTTTGAGGACGAGGATGAAGCTGTCGTGGAACAAGAAGAAGAACGCTCGCGCCAAACGCTCTTTCGCCGCCATTTCCAAGTACCCAAATCTCCCTTTCGATGAACAAGACAACCCACCAGGTGAAGACCGGGAAGGCGCCAGCGTCTCGGGGAATCGAGAACGACCCGTGTCAAAAGCTGTAGCTTTGGACGAGGATGGCCTGTCATCGTCGCCTGATCACAAGCAATTGGCCCGATCGTTTCAGTCTCAAGGCGACAAGCTCTCTGAGGTGATTCACGGTTCTTTGGCCCCTTTTGTTTTCTTGAAAATTCTGATGCTGTTATGATGAAGACGAATTTAAGTGACATGTAAAATGGCTCACTGCTTTTTTTTTTTTTTGTCGAAATAGAGATATCATTTCATTAAACCCGAGCCCACCTACGGGAGTAAGGGGAATCAAAATACAAGATTTCCCAAAGAGGGAAAGGGGGTTACAAACCCAATTTCGGGGGAGAGTCTTATACCTTGACGTCTTTACAACCCAGTCTACTAATCTATTTGAGTTACGGGTGTAGAGGACCAATTCTAGACTCTCAAAAAAAGCCAAGAGGCCAATACAATCAGTGATAATTGGCTCAACATCCCAAGGACAGAGGGAAGAATCTCTTAGACAGCTTATCAACGTTGAACAGTCAGACTTCAGCGTTAGTTTTAAATGAGGCCGATCAGCAAAGTGTTTGAGAGCATAGAGACAGGCAAGGGCTTCGGTTTGAAGGGCAGAAGATGCTCGGACTGGTCGGGCGAGGCCTTCCATCAATCTTTCTTCTGAATCGCGGCATACGCATGCAATTGCCCCTTCCATGGTCCCTGAGAGGTGAGATCCATCGATGTTTATCTTCAGCAAACCAGGGTCTGGTGGTCTCCATCTCGGTTTTAAGTTCAGTGGTACTCCTTCATGCTTTAAGTTGCTTCTATTCCAGCTCACGTAATTACAATGCATGTCTAGAGACTATTCAAGTATGCTGATTGGATCCGTCTACTCACGATGGAATACTAAGGTGTTATGCGCTAACCAAATTTTCTAGAGGGTAACTGCGATGATCTCGAACGGTATGTTTTTCTGGGTCATATAATTGTAGTTTTGCAATCACTTCTCAAATCTAGTGGCTTGTTGGTGAGAAAAGTGGATGTTGAAATAGGGATTTGACCAAACCTGCTTTGTCTTGTCGCAGAGGAGGAATAGATGCTTGACTGTCTCGGGCTTTTTTTGACACAATGGGCAAAAAGGTTCAGATAATACTTTTCTCTTGAACAAGTTTACCCTTGTAGGTAATGCATCTTGGCAGACGCTCCATATGAAAAGTCTGACTTTTTGAAGTGTTTTTAGCCTCCAAATTTTGCTCCATAGATCATTGGGTATTTGGTAGGAAGAAGAGGGCTGCCCAGAGCCATGTGTGGTCTCATTCTTTCGTAGCTCATTGTATCCGCTTTTGACAGAATAATAACCGGACCGATTTAATGACCACACTAGTGAGTCTTCTTTCGGGGTAGATGGTAGTGGAATAGCTAGGATTTCATTCACAACTTCTTCATCGAATAAGTTGTGTAAAAGTTGCTCATTCCAAAGATGTTCCATTGGGGCGATCAAATCTGTTACCATGTTGGGTTCATGTTGATTTTTTGGTCCTCCTAATTCGCCCCTTTCTAGCCACTGCTTACCCACGAATGTTTTAGTCTATCCAATCTGTTTGATTTGAGAGGTTGCTTACTGGGATTGTGCCGTTTTCGATGTGGGAGCTTGGAAAAAGATAATTGAAAAGCTAACCTTCATTTATTTGCAGGGGAAGTTTCTTCAGGGTCCTTGTATTTTTTGTTCTTTTGGAACTTTGCTTTCCAAAGAGAGTGAATTTTCTTAATAGTTTCTCAAATATGTTTTTGGTCCCTCTTTTCGTTGAGGTCCACTATGTTATTGGTGGTGGTGGTGGTAGGAATGGAATGAAATGTCCAATGCATATGTAATTTGCAAAATTATGTTTCCAGCAGTGGAATGGGTTGGGGTTGATGTGCTTTAGAGGGATTGGAATGAAATGATTGGTGTATGGAATTCCATGAAACGATATGATCAGCAGTTACTTGATTAATGTTGATTTGCCGAATATTAAGTTTTTTTTTCCAATTGGGTAGACATAATATTAAAAGCCCATAGTCCCATTTTGGTAATCTGAGCCTGATGATCTTGGTCAATTTGTGCAACTTGTTTTGGGTGTTGTGATGCTCCTAATTGTGGACTCGGCAGCCTTCGAATTGGCTTTAAGAGTTTCCAACTTTACTGTTGGCTGCTCCTGGCTAACCTACTGTAACATTGTTTGGGGAACTCGTGTCAGCATCACATAATCAGATTATAAGTTAATAGGACTGCCTATATCTCTTGGTGGCAAGTGATTTTTTTGGCTCATTGGCAAGAGGAACTCTTGTAACATCCTGTTGATATCTACAACTGAAAATTTTGAATGGCTTGTCTGCTGCCGGGTGTTTTCTCATCATTGTTGAGATTGTGATCATTCCCTAGTTTGTAGCCGTAATGAAGGGTTTTGATGTAGTTTACTTGTGTATGATTATTGGACTTCATTTTTATGTCTCATTCACTTTTGAAGGAGGGAAAATACCGGGAAGCACTAGGGAAGTGGGAGACTGCTCTTACCTTGATACCTGAGAATGCAGTTTTGCATGAGCAAAAGGCACAAGTCTTGCTTGAGATAGGCGATGCATGGGGTGCTCTGAAGGCAGCAATTAGTGCGTCCCAGATCCCAATTTTTTTTACTCTTTCTTCATAACTTTCATCAGATGACAGAAGCAGTGTCAACTAATTATATATACAGCGATTTTCTTCTCGAGTCTCTGTCTGTTCTTGATTATGTTCTCCATGTGTTAGTCAAACATTCTAAAATTTGCAAATATTGTCGACACGTATGTCCTTTTCCTTGACCATTGGTGTGGCAACATTAGTATCGCATGCTTAAAAGCTTTGACAAGCTTGGAAGTTCTTCAACGTCAGTTTGTAGTCCAAATTCGAGGGTGGGGTAGCTTCCATGAAATTGAAATCCAATCTCCACATCGGAAGATTCTTGCCAATAAGAGGGGTTCGTAATGAACCGTATTGGTTTTGAGTGCCCGGTGCTAAACGAATTTTTTAATGCTAGCAAGAGGCTCCACACCTGATGGAATTTGTCCGAAGTAATAAGAGTTCCCTAAAAAACAAACTAGCCTTTCCCTCCTTGTTGGGGTCGCATGGAATTTCATGAAACCAAAATCGATGGAGATTCTCCTTGGGGAAGTTGCCAACTATTGTTATAGTTCTGATTGACAATACATTTCTCCACTTGCTTTTTAGGGTCGACCAATAACCGCAAAACCCGAGATTTCACAAGATCATCAATGTTAAACTTCGATGGCATATAATGTGTATATAACACGAGTTTATTTCGCTCCATCAATGAGGCAGTGACTTCGTAGTTGGGACCACCCTTGTCTCTTGGGTGGTCATGATCGACTTGAGGACCTGTGCAAACCGGATGTCTTTTCAATTTACCTAAAGTGGCGATACGATCAAATCTAATCATCGCTAGTATGTTGAGAAAATAATAGCTGACTGTACGACGTGTCAATTCGTTTATCAATCAAGTAGCTTATATTAACGGTAGGTGCAGTTTCTGATGACATGAAAACAATGCTTGAGTGGTCCTACCTTGGTGCCGTCTACATCAACATCTAGATTTGGCTTGCTCCTCGGCATCATGGAGACCCTCTTGTGTCATATCCAGGAATTTCCTTAGGAAAAAAGCTTTTTAATGGACCGTAGCGAAAAGATTATCATAGAAATTGTCAAAGAAAGTAAGTTTAGCAAGTGGCTAACAGCTAAGGGTGTGTGTATCATAAAGAGAATCTATTCTAGATCATCCATTGAATGAAGCCAAACTAAAGCTCCTTAACCCCATTTTAGGCTAGTTAATGATATTTTGTTACTCTTGGGGCTACTCTTGAAATGGTGTTGTAGTCGGGGTCTGAATTGGGTTAAATTCTTCTAAATTACTCGATTATATCGCACGTAATTCTTAAAAATTATGAAAGCTCATCGTGAGATGAACCGATTAATATTATTTTCCATAATGGAATACCTGATTAAACTTTTAGCCCAATTGCTTGCGACTCACGATGAAAGGTATTTATCCCCCAAGAAATTAGAGTTGGTGCTAATTCAATCGATGTATGCAATGAAAAACCCATATAGTAATCCTAGATTCACTGAATGAGATATCGTGAGTCAGCCTCAGATCCTCGGTCATTTTAGCTGCACGGTCTGTCTTTTTTGGGGTAATGGCAACAAAAGAACACACCTCATGATGGCTTCATCGTTTTAGGATCCGAAAACTTTCCATGGTTGCCTTGGTTAAGTTTTCTTTAATTTGGGTAGTGGAAAGGTTGCGTCTCTGTCTTCTCAGCTCACCCTTTCTTTCCCCTTTCTACCATAGAAAAGACAAAGAAGAAGAAGAAGAAGAAGAGACAAGTACGGTCCGATGGAACAGCTTTCAGGCTACAGAATCAATCATATTCTACTTATATCTATAAGAAAATGCGTACTTATAGTTTAAAACTTCAAAAAAATTACAAAAAAAATTATTATCGTGACCTACCGGTCCTGATTGGTTATAAAAAAATGATAGGTTAGGCCAATAAGTATTTATCGAAGGATGTGAACGTTAATTGATTTGTTTGAACGACAAATCAAATAGTTCATTAATTCAAGGACCGAGAGCACTCTCAAACCTCATACTTCGCGCGACAAGAATTGTTTAATCTACGCATTCGATTGGAGTCGCCACTAGCCATAATCAAGGATTGGCTAGAAACCCTAATGTAGATGTGGGAGTATCGTCTTGATATACGCGAAAACCAGATATTCTAAAGATCGGGGACTTGATTACACTAGCAATCTAACTAGTGTCATTTCGGTACCTAAACTTGAACGTTCGCAAACCAACGTACCGGGCAGCCTATCGAAAAAGCTAAGATTCCACTTAACCATACTAAGAGAAGCAACAATCAATACATAAACCTAACATGCCTAATCAACCACATGCAAGGTTAAATTAAACACGCAATTCAAAATGTGTGAATCAAACAACATGCAATCAAACATGGCACTAATCACACAAAAAGAGCCAAAAAAAAAAAGGCCATTCCAAAGTCCAAATACTATTTTTTTTAATTTTCGAAATTTTTTTAAATTTTTAATAAAAATTTATTTTTTAATATAATAATAAATAAATATAAAACGGACCCGGGTCGGATCTCCACATCCGACCCGGGTCCACTGCGAGGTGGGCTCCGCGAAGGCCCAATTCGGAATACCCTACAACCCAAATAAAACAATTAAATAAAAACACATAAGCCCAGCCCACTAGGAATAAAAAGCCTAAATAGCACTTCAGCCCAATTTATCCAATTCAGCCCATCCACGAAATGACCCAAACCTAAAAAAATTTCTAGTCCTAAACCAAGAAAAGCCCAAAGCCATTAAAGTATGATAAATCTAAAGTCGGCCCAAGTAAAAAAGCCCTACCCGGTCGGACCCGCGCACCCGACCCGGCTGCGAGCTGCCGACCCGACTGGCCTGGAACCCTAGCGCTCGCCGCTCACGGCGCTCCACCTGCCGCGGCATTATATTTCCATGAAGTAAACATCCTCGGACCCAGACATCGAAAACCGAGATCATTCATTATATTTCCACAAACAGTTCGGCAGAAATTCTTCTCCGGGACCGTGTACCGAGTACTGGTCACAGTCCCCATATTTCACAGAGACACACACAGGGAGGGAGGAGGGAGGGAGAGACAGAGAGAGAGAGAGATGACAGAAGAAAGAGTCTTTTAGTTTCATCAGCATGACTAACGCTTTCCGGGCAGAGGAAGGACTTCTGCGACTCCCACCGTCGTCTCCTTGGCTCAAACCGGCTCCCAGCGAGTGGCGGAGGATCCAAAACAAGGACCCAAGGCAAAAGAGACCCAATTCACAGCGCGGTCCCCACATCATTCTCTTCACCAGCCTCCTCTTCGCCGGCATCACCCTTCCTCCCTTGGCTCCGGAACGCGCCCCTGTTCCTTCCGCCGCACATCCACGTCTTCCCCTCCTCCATGATGCCCAGCACCCTCCCTTTAGCGTCGCCACGACCTTCGCCCTCCTCCATCGCTCTCGATCACGGTCCTCGTTGATCAACCTTTTTCTTATCTTTGAGAAAATGCGAGTGCCTATAAAGCTCCTCTCTCCCTCCCCCTCTCTCCGGTTATACAAAAGCACGAAGCTGCTTGGACCGAGGGGGTTTCTCCTGATGGAGACTGGCGGGAGGAAATACTCCATCTAATGGATAAGTCCCCATCTGATGGAGAAGTTGGAGAGTCATAGCGTGAATTTATTAGCGATCTCCATCTCCTGATGGAGACTTCCTGATGGAGAATCATAGCATGAATTTATTAACGTAATTTATTAAAGTGTTCGCAGGACCGCCAAATCTAGTAAGACATGCATGTGATAGTCAAAATAAAATAGCAAACCTTGAAAATCGTTGCGTTTTAAGATACTCCACTCATTCACCTCTGTTCGATGTGAGACTTAACAATTCATATCAACCTGTCATACACTTGCGCACACCTTGGGAGCTTCCTCTTTCAGCAATGGGCTTTTTACTTTCTTTTAGCAAATTGTAGTCCTTAATTTCCATTTACATAATCATGTGGGGTAGAGATTCAAACCAATTAGTACAGTTGGAGCGCTATCAGGAATCCGCACCAAATGAATGAAAGATATTTCTGCTTGTTTTAAAATTTCAATGAGCAAAGGGCGGGGAGGAATAAACGTATCGGATAATGGAGATCTCTTCACACGTTGTAGTAAATGTTCAAGGCACAAGTTGGCTAAAAGATCGCTGGTGATGGTGTGCTATTTTACGATTTATTCACCGCCCTCGGTGGTGAAAAATATTATCGACTGCCTTAATGCAACATCGCTAAGGCGAATGGTTTGTTTTGAAAAAAAAAGCCGTAGAAAATAGATGGATCACGGCTCATTTCTTTTCTCTTTTCTTATGAAATGCTGCAAAATATCATAAAATCCAATAAAATGCAAGCTAAAATCATATCGGTCTCGATGACATGCGAGGCGAATCTATGTCGGGCTCTTTTAACGAATTCCGAGGACGGAGACCTTTCCTTTGCGACACTCTTGTGCACTAACAACAACTTCGTCCTGAACAAATTTCGTTCAATAATTCGTGACTTGGAATGACGAAAGTTGCATCGCAAATTTTTTTTTTTTTGGTAAACATAAAGTACAAACTAAGTAAACTAAAGTCTAAAGTCTACAGCCCCAACTATACCACTAAACAAACACATGAGATAATTCTCTAGGAGCTTGCAAGTAGGACGCAATATCCAATCACATCTTCCTAGACGTCGTATCGGATCTTTGTTTTGATTAGATTGGCACGACAATGCCAATCAATGGTCCCCGCTCGCGAACTTACTTAGAATGGTTGGACTCTGCTGTCGGTTTGAGGGGGGTATATTCCTATTCTCCTTTACCCTTTATTGAAAAGAAAGAAGCCATCGTAACATGCTCCTGTCATCAGTTTCTTAAAGTGTCATCATTCTTAATCCTTGAATCGACTTTGCATGTTCCAAAGATCGTGTAGATACTTGCCGTTTCAACAAGGACCAGGATTCATGCTCAAACTCAAAAAGTCCGCTTATTCCATTAGTAAACTAATTTACAATATCGTAAAAAAGGCCAAAGAGATAAGACCAACTTCTTCTATATTCCATGACCAGGATTCATGATTTTCTTTGCTCAGTTAGATATTGGAAGTGCGACAACTTCCATTTTTTTTTCTCCGTCTACTTTGATTCCATCATCTTCTTCTTCAGATTCGGAGTCGGCGAAGAGGAACGCCGATCATTGCGCTTTGTGAGCCATAGCCAAGAAGAAGCAACGCAATTTGCCAAGTACTCGACCGCCATTCTCTTCACTAACCTTCTCTTTCGCGGAATCACACTCCACTTTTTGATCACGAAGCTCGTTCCTCTCGATAGATCCTGTTCGGCGGACATCGAATCGGCGCTCTTTCTCGGGGTGTTGTGGCACGGCTTCGTCTTGACAGCTACGCCGGAGCCTGTAACTTGAGGCACTGCTTGATGTGTCGTGCGAATTTTTAGGATACACTTGATGGAACAAAGACCCATCAAGCTTAATTTATAGCACGAAAAGGGTTTCGCTTTAGCTGCTTGCATTGCAATTACGCAGTCATGACGGATCGGAAGAGGCTTTGAGGAAGCACCGTATTGTCTTGTAGCAACAAGACGCATCGATGATTAAGAAGTAACTAGATTTTGTCAAAGCCCCTCGAGAAATAAGAAGTGATGCTCCAACATCTGAATCCAAACGCAACAACATTTGTCTTCACCCATTTGGAATTTAAGAAAGCAGTCATGATTAGGAGATGCTGATCCATATCTAATCTCAAGGACTCATTAGGAGGGGCTTGGCTATAACTAGCTATGCGACAACTCCAAATGAGTTAGATGACTCGATTAGACGACAGTAACTTTTTTGTCCCATTAGGAGTGTGAATTTCGAATCTAACAGCTTCTCGAAACATGTTAAAGAAACCGTTTATCTCGGTGTAAACGATTCGCCTCGATTGGATTGCGGATCTCGGTTGGAGTTTAGTCTAGGTATGTAACTACGGACCCCAAACAAAAGTAAAGTTGATGATCCCAGTGGAAACATGTTGCGTCATTGAGAAGAAGCTGAGTATAAGGTAAATGAGGGAAAGTTAGTTTGCTTACCCATTTATGGGAGTGAATAAAAATGAGCAATTTCGACACGATTCCAATGACATGACCTATGCCAACAGGAGAACAGGCCCACGGTCAAGGTGTACGAATCAATAAGAAGAAACCAAAAAGGGTAGTGACTTACCAGATGCCATAAATTCTTAGATTAGTTACTTTTTGCTCTTTAGCACTGCAAGCTCTGAATTTTTGGCGATTTCATCCGCTAATTTTAATTAGTGCAATCAAATCCTCTCGTTTTATTAATTCATGCTGTTAAATTATTCCTTCGCTGATCTTTGTGGAGGGTAGAGGTCTACTTGACCTCGCCTTCGTTGCCGGTGGTTCCAGTTTTAGTCTTCTAAACTTTGATTTTTAAAAGCTATAATTGGATTTAAACCCAAATGTCCAAGTTAGATAGGGAAAAGAAATTAACCTTTTTTTCGCAAACAAGCGTCTCGAGTTGAGTTTAAGAAGCAGTCTTACTAGCAACGAAACTTAGAATATTCTTATAAATTCTGTTGGGTGATGAATACTGAAATGGTCATGTGATATGCTTGGAGTGTTGTTTTGATTTTCTCTCTTTATTTTTAAAATTGGTTAGAGTTGTTGGGTACTCAAAAACTCCACTTGCATATTAATTTTAGATATTTAGACAATATGAAAAGGCCAATTCTAACTCTTTTCTTGGTTTGTGAATTTCAAAAGCAAATTTAAGTATTTTTAGCCTTGAAGTTCATTGTTAAAAAGACAACAATTTGGCTTGCCGCTGCCTATAAAAATATCAGTATTGCTAATACTATGACAATCAATGAAACATTCATTTACTTGGATTCTAACTTATGTCTCCTAGGCAAAATAACATAACCTTTCCTAAGTAGTGAATTTAAACAGTATAAAATCTCTTCGTTAATTTCATAGGTTTTGCTAACGATACCTATGGTGATATGCAAGGGTAGTACTTTCTTTGAGTTTTTTGTTCCTACAATTTTTGGACAAATCGGCCCATGTGAATTTAAATTATAAATTATGTAACCATCCATTGCATCCTCAAATCTCAATCATCTATTAATCATACTTAAATAGTGATACTAATACGATGTATTAGAGATATTTATGCAATAATAAGGTTTCGATTTTATTATTTTTTTAAAGTGATTAAAAATAAATAAATAAATATATTTTTATAAGTGCCAATATGGAAACCGACCTTCCTTTCACGCTCGGTTCAATCAACAGTTTAACCTTCGCAGCTTCTTCGCTCCTCTAATTGAAGCCGAACCACGCAGCTCTGGATCACTGGGCATTGCCATAGCGGCGACGTCTTTGAGGACGAGGATGAAGCTGTCGTGGAACAAGAAGAAGAACGCGAGCGCCAAACGCTCTTTCGCCGCCATTTCCAAGTACCCAAATCTCCCTTTCGACGAACAAGACGACCCACCGGGCGAAGACCGGGAAGGCGCCAGCGTCTCGGGGAATCGAGAACGACCCGCGTCAAAAGCCGCAGCTTTGGACGAGGACGGCCCGTCATCGTCGCCTGATCACCAGCAATTGGCCCGATCGTTTCAGTCTCAAGGCGACAAGCTCGCTGAGGTGAATCCCCGTTCTTTTGCCCCTTTTGTCTTCTTGAAAATTCTGATGCTGTTCTGATGAAGACGAATTTAAGTGACATGTAAAATGGCTCACTGCTTACCCACGAATGTTTTAGCCTGTCCAATCTGTTTGATTTGAGAGGTTGCTTACTGGGATTGTGCCGTTTTCGATGCGGGAGCTTGGATAAAAATAATTGAAAAGCTAACCTTCATTTATTTGCAGGGGAAGTTTCTTCAAGGTCCTTGTTTTTTTGTTCTTTGGAACTTTGCTTTCCAAAGAGAGTGAATTTTCTTAATAATTTTTCAAATATGTTTTTGGTTCCTCTTTTCTTTGAGGTCCACTATGTTATTGGTGGTGGTGGTGGTGGTGGTGGTGGTGGTGGCGATGGTAGGAATGGAATGAAATGTCCAATGCATATGTTATTTGCAGAATTATGTTTCCAGCAGTGGAGTGGGTTGGGGTTATGTGCTGAAGAGGGAATGGAATGAAATGATTGGGGATATGGAATTACATGAACGATATGGTCAGCAGTTACTTGATTAATGTTGATTTGCTGAATATTAAGGTTTTTTTTTCCCAATTGGGTAGACATAATATTAAAAGCCCGTCGTCCCATTTTGGTAATCTGAGCCTGAAGATATTGGTCAATTTGTGCTACTTGTTTCAGGTATTGTGATACTCCTAATTGTGGACTCGGCAGCCTTCGAATTGGCTTTAAGAGTTTCCAACTTTACTGTTGGCTGCTCCTGGCTAACCTACTGTAACATTGTTTGGGGAACTCGTGTCAGCATCACATAATCAGATTATAAGTTAATAGGACTGCCTATATCTCTTGGTGGCAAGTGATTTTTTTGGCTCATTGGCAAGAGGAACTCTTGTAACATCCTGTTGATATCTAAAACTGAAAATTTTGAATGGCTTGTCTGCTGCTGGGTGTTTTCTCATCATTGTTGAGATTGTGATCATTCCCTAGTTTGTAGCCGTAATGAAGGGTTTTGATGTAGTTTACTTGTGTATGATTATTGGACTTCATTTTTATGTCTCATTCACTTTTGAAGGAGGGAAAATACCGGGAAGCACTAGGGAAGTGGGAGACTGCTCTTACCTTGATACCCGAGAATGCAGTTTTGCATGAGCAAAAGGCACAAGTCTTGCTTGAGATAGGCGATGCATGGGGTGCTCTGAAGGCAGCAATTAGTGCGTCCCAGATCCCAATTTTTTTTACTCTTTCTTCATAGCTTTCATCAGACGACAGCAGCAGTGTCAACTAATTATATATACAGCGATTTTCTTCTCGAGTCTCTTTCTGTTCTTGATTATGTTCTCCATGTGTTTGTCAAACATTCCAAAATTTGCAAATATTGTCGACACGTATGTCCTTTTCCTTGACCATTGGTGTGGCAACATTAGTATCGCATGCTTAAAAGCTTTAACAAGCTTAGAAGTTCTTCAACCTCTGCTGATAAATATCTCAACATACTTACAAATGTCCTTTCCCCCAGGAGCCACTGAATTGGATCCATCTTGGGCTGAGGTATGTCTGGAGTTAGTTATTTTCTCACATGTTGTATGTTTTGACTATGTCATAGCTTGTAGATCTTGGTGAAAGTCTTCTAGTATATAATATGTGTTGCCAAGTGCATTATCACACTACTTTTCCATTGTAAGCATATGTATTGTTTGCATGAATCCCCCTCATCAACATTTTACCTAAGGTGATGTCTGTACTTCCCATGTAGATCTACCCCATTATGTTGCTTTCTGTTTTCTGTGTTGAGAATGCGAATATATCATGTGGTCTCTCTTTTCTTCATGGCTTTTTCATTAAGCAGCAGATCTTATTAAAAATTATTCACTTCGATGTTCATATGAGAGGTGTTGATAAGTATTTATCAATATCATTGATCATAGCCAATTAACTTCATTATCTTTAAGGAGAGTTATTCCAGACAACTTTTCAGCTACCTCTTGAAAATGTTCCTTGGCTATAAGGAGTATCACCAAGAGTAGCTGTTCGACCTTATTAGTTTCTACTAAGTTATCTGCTTTTTAATATGAACAACAAGTGGATGGAATTGAATGTACTAAGTTGTGTATGGAGAAGGTATCCAATTGAAGGATCTAATATAGAAGAATATAAGTCCAGAAGGGTGCAAAAACATGATTCTGCAAGTAGAGAATGATGCACGGGTACTAGCTAAATGAAATGAACGAACTCCTTGTGATATTAGCTGGAATAGGTCTCTTTTTCTTGGTCACAATTGTCTTCTCATGTCCTTTAGATGACTTCAAGGAGATTACTCCCTTAATTCATGGAGGCATGTGAATTTGCTATGTTTGTAGGCGATTATATTTTATCTAATATGTTAATTGTTGAACAGAACAAAGTTGTTATCATTTATCGCGTGTTAAGTTATTGTGTTCACTTGATTCTGTTGTATATTCATTATTGTTAGCTTTCTTGCTGAAAGAAGTTTGTCGTACTGATAATTCAATAATTTTTTTTCCGTGTGGAGCGTTGAATTTATGCAGGCATGGATCACCCTGGGTAGAGCACAGTTAAACTTCGGAGAGCCTGATAGTGCCATTGCTAGTTTCGATAGAGCATTGTCTCTTAAGGTCTGCTGCTGATCATTGTTGTTCTTCTAGCTTTAGTGTGCAAAGATACTAATGAATTAGCCTCCACATTGCAGCCGGATTGTGAAGAAGCTCAAGATGACAGGAGAACTGCACTACATCTTGTGAAGAAGCGAAAGCAGCTGCATTTATCGGGCGTGAGCACAACAAAAAACCGTTTTGTGGTTGGAGATAAAGAATGACTTTTGGTCCAGATACTTACAAGAACTTTTTTAGTTCTTGCTTTCGAGGAGGAGCCTATGGCCCTTATGTATATAAAGCTTTGACGTGTTCTGAGCAGCTATTGTACCTTGTTAAGCTCTTAAGAAGATGCAGGGTGGTTGAAGAAAAATTTATGCAGTCCGACTTTCCTTGTTTGAAACTAGAGGTCTAAAGTTACGAGGATGTCACCTCTCACCCGATTGAAAGCTGGTCTCTTTAGATATCTAGCCTTCTCACCCTTGCGACTAGGACTTTTAGTTCTTCTTGGCTGCTGTCTCCTGAATCTTTCTTGTATGTTATTGTACTAATTCCTTTCAGCATAACGCTATCATCATCTGAAAAAGGATAAAGGACGATGCTTGAACGAAGAATGTAAATTCACAGAGCATCCTCAGTTGTCGTTGTGGCTATGACGTGATGCTACGGCTATGGAACATGTGGAGAGTCGTTTGTACTCTGATGGATCATGGTGCCTACACTAATGTTTTTGTTAGTCACTCTTTTTTTTTTTTTGCAAGATCATAGTAATCCACAGAGCACTATCGCCATTTTTCAGGGCATTCATCGCGAATAGTTTCAATCCAGGAGCACGCTACTTGTCAGAAGTGAATTGATTCACCTAGAACTTGAAAGGTACCTAATAATTCCGTCATTGTTCTTTGCATGAGCACAGGTTCCTTGTGCCCAAGCAGCATTTACTTCTGCTAGGACATTCCCACCCTATACAGCTCTTATAGCGCTTCTTGCAACTCGTCAGGTTTAGTATACGGTTTTTCAGTATGGTAGTTGCTTCCCCTTTGCATACCTAGCTTGTTCTGATGCCAAGTGCAAAAAAATTATCGCAGTCAAGATCCAAAACTGAAGAAACAATTGCAGCACTAAAACTGTGCCGACGAAGACACTCTTTTGAATATATCGACAGTGTCACATTTTCGACAACATCACAGGAAGTACTATAACTCAACTGACAAAACTTGAAATAGGATTGTCTTAAGTGACACGAATCAACAGCACAACCATAATAAAGATGCATGTCATCGCGAAGATCAGAAGCCAAGTAAAGCATGTAGTCTTAGAGCTTTCTGAGTATATCTCCGTTGCTCGTACATTAACCCGATTTGTGCTTGCCAAGCTGTGCTCAACAGCTTTCTCTGTTGAATCAAGTATCTGCAATGCAACCCATAAGGATCTTGTCAGACTAAGTATATTGTTGAGTTGGATGGAATAGCCACTGCCCAGGGAAATGTCACGATTAAAGCAGCTGTTTTGCAACAGACTAGCAAGATTGAAGCAGATCGCTCAAGTTACATCCCGGAATTGCCATTATGAAAGGAATTAAGATAAGGAAAAATTAAAAGACACCTAACATAGAATCAAAATTTACTTTTTCTGTATCTTGCAGGGACTGACTCATCACGAGGCTACTCTCTTTCAGTTGCCGTGCCAAACCAACCATTTCATCCGTCAGATCCTCTTGAAGCTTTCTGTTGAAAAGGAAAAGGTGCAATCACAGTATCTGCTTAAATATACTTAAAGAAGGACAATCATAACACCGAAATATTGGTCAAATTTTTCAAACAGTAGCCACAAAGTAAGCCAATTGTTCAATGTGGAAGATGGGAAAACTAGCTTGAAGATAAAAAAAACTACACACTCACGGAGGCATCTTAACTCGCGAACTAAATCACTCTACTTTTAAGCCCAAGAAAGTTTAACGTGATTCGACCTTGTTTCTACCATATAAGAGCCATACACTAGTCTTGTAGCATATCTTCTTCAACTTTACTTGACACCAGAGTCTTGAAATTTTACTCTACTTTATTCTGTTGTGATGTGATATGGTTCAGTGTGCATCATTTCAATAATCTTCATACCTGACCAGATTACATTCCAGCCTTTACAGAATCTTGGTTATTTTGAGTTCTCAGGACGACGACAAATAACAACCAAGTTTTTTCCCCACTAGTAGGGTTCAGCTCTCTAAGTTCTCACAGTGTCCCCATAATCAGGTGTCCGGGGACGAAAACATTTTCAAAACAGGACAAGAAGCAATGCACGAACTAATCAGTAGTTTTGGGTATGGGAACCCCAAACTATAAAGTTGTCTAGTAATAACACAATCATGACTATTTGTCATTACTGACAAACGAGAATGATAAAACCTACCTGTGCTTTTCAATAATGATAAAACCTACCTGTGCTTTTCAATGTGTGCTTGCGCTGCAGCATCTAGTTTGACAGGTCCTGAAGTATCAACTTCATTACGGGATTGAGTTGTATCCGCAGTACTTGAGGTTGGCCTGTTAAAGAATCTAAGTGACAAATTACAATCACGAATTGGTAATAGCTCATGTAGATAACTTATTATTGCGATAAAAGGCACACTATTAAGAGTTACATAAAACAAATACATCATCACTGTAGTAGATTCACTTACGCAAATCTCCTTCTTAATCCTGATTTTGGGGTAACTGGATCTTCCAATTCTTTATGAGGGCTTTCTCCAGAAGAACTTCCTGGAAAGGGCTCCTGAGACTCTTGCACATCATGCTGAGAAATGCAAGCAGAATACCATCTCATGAAACCTCATACCCGATGGAAAGCAACTCAAACTTTTTCAGTTAAAAAGTGCACTTAAAAAGTATTAGATGAGTGAGGTAACAACCTTCATAGGCACATCATAGACAACTGCATGAAGAAAAGCTAAAAAATTTGCAGCAACCAGCAGCAATTAGTAACCATCTAGTATAATCTCTCTCTGTGTGTCTCTCAACCCCACCCCCACAACACCTCTCCCCCCCCCCACCAAAAAAAAACCCTCTCTCTATTTCTATCACGAATAATTGAGAATAACTCTGGTCCAATCATAGAATTGCCAGTCAATGCTTTTTTGGTGCTCACTATATTAAATGGGAAATTGTCATGAACATGTAAAATATGAAAAACAATTCCAAACATTGTGAATAGAGCTATTCATGCGTCTCCATCAATTCTGTCACAATTTTGTCTTCCTAAATGAACAAAACAAAACTAGCTAATAAGGTACTGAGGGGCTTCACCTTTATCCATAACAAAATAGCGGACCGTCTAAGCTCTGACTGACACACAGAACTGTTCTAGTTCTGTATGCCAAATACTTGAAAGTATAACTCATTCTGAACAGAAATTTAAGAGGGATTCCTATGCCATTAAAGAATGTAAGATTCTGTTCCATCCACAACAGCACAGACTATGCTAGAACCATGAAATGATCGAGAACTGCAAAACCCAGGTTCGTGTCTGTAAGGGGACAAGAAGATTTAATCCATTTAATTATTTTCAGCTTCTAGACTTGCACTTAAAGCAATCAAGAAGACAAAAGTAAGGATAGCCACCTCTAACAATATTCAGTAATTGCAGGAAGAAGAAAGGTGATATAACTCTAGGGACCAAATCAAACATGTCCAAGAGACATGTAGAAAACCAGCAGTAATCAAATCTCAGCTGTCATATAGAAAACCAACACAAAAATCTAAAGGTCATGTGCACTCACCAAAGGAGCTGATAACTTAGCAGCAATTGCTTCAATCTTTTCAGAATAATCAATCACCATTGCCTTTGGAACTCTGCACCAACAAATCCATGCAATTATCAAGGCAGCAAATCTGATGCGTGCTGATTCAACCACGAGTATGTTCACTTCAAAGACACAATAAAGACAAGGTTAAATTTCAGTTTAACGTCTTCCAACAGAGTCACTATCCTTCGTATACTCACATCTACTGCTAAGCAACAAATGACGACTGAAATAAAATTCTGAAGCATGAAGCTGTGAAGGCATGCTTACTTGTGTGCGCACACGCAAGCTCGTGCTTACGTATAACACCCAAGAAATTTTTTCTTAATTACAACATTAATCGCATCACTGAATTCCCTCATCATAACAATAATAAAATTTGGACTAACAGCTAAAAAGAATTCCACAAGCTACGAAAACAATGGAAGGTCATCACTCACCCATTCACAGATCCTCTCAAATTTCTAAGACGAATTGAAACATCAACCTACACAATGCCTACCCAAAAAGCAAATATTCTCTACTTCTGTGCTTTATGAATAAGAAATTAAACTTCTCAACGCACATATCACCCAAAACACTAAGCTCAATAAGTTTATCTCACTGTCCTGGTTACAGATAGACCACATGAAAAAGGCTTGTCCAGAACCTAATAAACATCCCCCTCCCTCCCTCCCTCAAAATAACATGACTAGCAACTCTACCAAACCAGGGAATCAACAAAAAATTCAGAATAGCTTGCAATATTTAATTGGTTAAACGGTCGATGGCAATAGTCTTCTTCCTGCTAGTCCCACTGAGTAAATATAAGAGGCAACAACAAGCAGTCTGTGATCCAGCCAACAACACCGTGCCGTAGGGTCCATAACCAGAAAACTCATATAAAAAGTTCCAACAAGCAGTCCAATGTTCAAAGATGAAAGATCCAAGATGAAATGCTCATCTCATTCAACAACAACAGTAAATCACAGAGAGTTCTAAAGGACATGCGAAGGACCTTGGTAACCCATCTGGGGTTCTCTCCTCAGCCAGCTGCTCCAGTTGTTCTCTTAAAGTAGCAACATACTACAAAGCCAACATGACAACAGCATTGTAAAATTGAAGAGATGCATCTAGCACTTCAGAGAACAATAAGGACTAGAAATGAGAAAGTCACTAACTAGGTAAACAGCAGAGCACACCTGAACGAAACATACATTAAACTTACTTTTACAAAGGACACTAAGTCGTCCTAAACTAATCATCTCCTGGGAGATTAAGTTCATAGAGGTGAACTGCAGTACGTGTCACTAAACTGGTCATTAATTTCTAGATTTAGCACTTGTTTGGAACTTCAACATATCTCAAGTTAGTCATCTCACTTAGTTTTCCTCTTCTTTTGGCTAGGAAAATACGCGGGAGGGGCAACCAACAGTTACAACCTCTGGGGTTACTAAAAGGATCCCGCGCCCGCTAAGGTCAAAATCGAGCAATCATCTATTACCATAAAAAAAAAAAAACTACAGAAGGACACAGTAACCGCCATATGGCTGCCAACAAAGAGATTCACGTTGGTCGTTTCCCACAGTCACAGTAAAAGTCACCACATTCTGTATCGAGAACTTGTCCAAAGAACCTCCATTCGCTTCCTCCAAGTAACAACCTCCTTGTCTTGAATCATCAAACACTAATTGTCTCGAGTAAGTAGCCTAACTTTCAATTTGGGCTAGCTCCTATCCTCAAGAATCATAACTTTTTCCTTCCCAAAACAGAGTTTGCTTTCTCAAGAGGAACCGTGTTAAGCTCCGACCAATCTTTTCCCCGTCTTTGATTGCTCATTTCATCTCGGGTTTTCTCTCCTAGTTAGCTTTGTCCGCACACCCTCGCAATGCGGACTCGTCGGAGCAAATTACTCATCGGAATGAATCCGCCAGGAAAAAAAATATCACTAAAAAAACACAGCCGTGCTCAAATTGACAACGGATAAAGACGAGAGAGCAACGACCGGCCTGGCTTTCAGAGGGGAAGACGTACGTGGGCGAGTTTCGCTTGATTGTCTTGCTTAGGTGCAGCCGCGAGCAACCTCCTCAGGTTCACTTCGGTCCTGCTGATCCCCATCGCTAGACCCCCCTACACGTTTGCGCAACCAGCAATGAATTCGCCCGGGCGAATCGGAAAAACCTCGAAACACGCACGGATTGCAGGGTTACCGAAATCGCTCGTCGGCCTGCGGTTCGCCGATCTCGTCCGCGCGTTCCAAACGGAGGATGGCAGGCGAGCTGGATCGCCGGACGTGGCGTTCGGTCGTTTAAAGAAAGAGAAGGAGGAGGGGCAGAAACCGATTAGAATCGAACTCTCTCTATTTTGTTCGTTTTAAGATTTTAATTCAAATTGCAGCAGGTACTTCAACTTCTACAAATTATATAATCAAGTCCTTAAATTATATATTTATTTATATAGGTCTTTCCGTTAAAATTATGAACAAAAACACGGACGGGATCATTAAAGGTCTCTTTGGTAATGTTTCTGTTCCTGGATTCAGAAATAGTTTTTTCTAATTCTGTTCTCGGAAACAGCTTCTGAGAAAAAAAATGCGTTTGATAACTGTACAAAATTTCTATTATCGGAATACAAAAAGAACAAAAATGCGTTTGCTACGACTTTAAAAATTTCTACTCCCAAATTTTTTCATTTAATTGTAAAATGTGAGTGAAGACTTAACAATTCTTCATGTTTGGATAAAATTGGACTAGAATAAAAATATATTATGATATAGAATTGAATAACCTTAATACAATCATAAAGAAAATTACTCTTTATAAACAAATTAAATATCGGATGGTGGTCGAGGAAATTGCAGTTTAGGGTTTGGGTTTTAAGATTTCGGGTTTGGAGTTTTGGGGTTTGGGGTTTGGGATTTGAAGTTTATGGTTTTAGGATTTTGGTTTTAGGGTTTGGGGTTTGGGGTTAATGATTTTAGGATTTTGGTTTTGGGGTTTTAGGGTTTGGGGTTCTGGGATTCGGGTTTTAGGTTTTGGAGTTTGGGTATAGTATTTAGAGTTTAAGGTTTTATGATTTAGTGTTTCGGATTTGGGGTTTGGATGTTTGGAATTTAGGGTTCGCGGTTTTGCGGTTTAGGATTTGGGATTTGGGGTTTGGGGTATAGTGTTTTGAGTTTTGGGTTTTAGGATTTGATTTTGGGGTTTGGGGTCTAGAGGTTTAGGGGTAGGATTTAGGGTTTTAGAGTTTGGGGTTTTGAGTTTTAGGTTTAGGGTTTAGGTATTGAAATTTAGAATTTAGGGTTTTAGGATTCAGGGAGTAGATTTGGAATAGAATCAAGCTTCTTGATTCTATTCCAAATTTACTCTCTGGCCACTTTTCTGTTCCAGGAAACAAAAGAATTGATTGACGTTACCAAACGGATTTCTAGTCTTTTTTCGTTCCAAGGAACAAAAGAATATAGAATAAGAGCGCGAATGGTAACCATTCTGCTCCAGAAATCAAATTCTTGCAAGAAATTGATTTCCGAAATTCTTGCCAGAAATTGATTTTTGGAGGAGAAATCTATTTGATAAAACATGACTAATTCTGTTCCAGAAATTGATTTATGGAACAGAAATCTATTTTTATTTTTTTATTTTTTTGGGCACCTCAAAAAAATAAATTTCACTCAAAGTGGGTGCTCAAAGGTATTCTAAGCCATTTTGTGAAGTTTTGAAATTTTTGATTTTTTTGGGCACCTCAAAAAAATTAAATTTTACTCAAAGTGGGTGCCCAAAGGTATTCTAAGCCATTTTGTGATGTTTTGAAAATTTTGATTTTTTGATTTTTTTGAGCACCTCAAAAAAAATAAATTTCACTCAAAGTGGTGTGCCTAAAGGTATTTTAAGGCATTTTGTGAATTTTTGAATTTTTTGATTTTTTTGGGCACCTCAAAAAAATTAAATTTCACTCAAAGTGGGTACCCAAAGATATTCTAAATTATTTTGTAAAGTTTTGAATTTTTTGATTTTTTTATATTTTTTGAAAAAAATTCACCAAATTTCCTATTTTCCCGAAATCTGACTTTTTTTTTATTTTTTGGAAATTTTTATGAATTTTTCTAGAATTTTTCAATTTGTATGCATTTTATGAAAAAAAAAAATTAGTGAGAAAAAGAGAGAAAATAGGGAGAATGCATTCTGGAAGAGAGAAGCTACAAAAAGTAGCTTCTCTTTTTCTTGCCCAAAACTCATTCTGGAATAAAAAATGCATTCTGGAATCAAGAGTGCATTCTGGAATCAAGTATTTTTAACAAACGCATTTTTATTCCAGAATGCAAAAATTGCTCCAGAGTGCATTCCGGAAATTTTTTAACAAACGCATTTCTGTTTCGGAATGCATTCTGGAGCAGAATTTCTACTCCAAAATGGATTCCATGCGCGCCCTAAGAGAATCTGGAATGTTACCAAACATGCCCTAAGTCGCCATTAAATGCTGACAAGTCCTCCTACCCGATACTTAAATTTTTTTTTAAAGAACAAGAAAAAAAAATAGAATAAATATCAAAAGTTAAGGAAACGGAAATTTCAAGAAAATGGCATCATGTGACCTCCAGCCATTGGCTCTTAAGTTAGGGGTCTCCCGACGACGAAGGCTAGTTGGCTAGATTGTCTGACCCGGGCTTAAATTTGCTGCAATCAGGCGGTCTCTGCCGGACCTCACCTGGGGGTCGGCTGACGAGCCGACGATAAAAATAGCGTGAACCTGGCGACCAACAGCAGCGGCGGTCAGGTGGCCTCGGTGATTAGCAGCTGAGATCACACGACTGTAGTCGTCACCTCTCCGGGTCGCACGAGCGCCTATTAGGCGTCGCTAGCTTTGACCTTAGCGACGACCAACAACAAGGGGCTCAACAACATTCCTCGAGAGCGCGTGGGGGGGCAATAATGCCAAAGAGAGGACACGGCTGTCCTTTTCCCGCAGGAGAACATTCGATTACGGATGACGACCAATGTTTTTCCAATATGCAATCCAGCAAAAATTGTTATAATGACATCTTCGCTAAAGATGAGATCGGATATGCGTCACTTTCAAGGGGCATTTCTTCCTTGTACCCGAAGAAACCCTAAAGCTCGAAACTTTCAAAGCCAATCTCTCTCCTTTTCGAAGAACCGAAATCAACACCTTCCCAACCTCGCCAGGCCTGATCGCAGCAGCTGCATCGCACCGCTAGGAGCTTCCCGGTACTTCTCTCTCTCTCTCTCTCTCTCTCTCTCTCTCTCTCTCTCTCTCTCTCTCTCTATCGAGCTCTGTGCTTGCTCCCTTCGGCGATCCGTGAGATCGAATTAGGGCTGAGGGGGGGGGGTGTGGGTGCGTTGAGGATGGGCGCGTTGGGCTGACCGTTTTCGTTTGTGCAAGATGACGATTTGAGTGCTGGTAGTCCGATTCTTGTTCGCGGTGGATTTGTTTCTGTCATGCTTCCGTGGGCAGATTGTGTCTATGAGAGGCAGCTAACTGAGTTTTAAGGGGGATGGGGTTAAATGGTTGAGCTGGAACGTTATGGGTAAAGTTTGTCTTTTAGACCCAAAATGGAGGTCAATAATAACGCTGAATGATTCTTCTTAAAGATGTGGAATGTTAAATTTAAGAGAGATGTCGAATTTTGGGAGGATCAGTGCAACAACAGTGATATCGGTAAGTACAGGACAAGAAAAGTGCTGCTCTGTCTTTGATGGAAATACTGAAATACACGAGGAGCATTCCTCTGTGGGGTACTTAGATCGTAGCTGGAGGAATTGCTATCGAAATTAGATCTTGAAAGACCATTTGGCTGTCTTGAACATAAATATTGCATTCGAATCTAAATGGAACGATTTGAGCATCCTTCCCTGCTTGAAAGAAGGGAAACACAAGAGAGTTGTTAGAGCAGTTTAAGGTATATATATATTCTCACACTTGGAAGCAATTCCGATATATCCTTCTTCGAATACTGTGTCTTGTAATGTGGAGATCGGGGGAGCATGGCGTGCCGACTATAGAAGTCCCCAACAAATTCGGGAGCAGCTTTCCTCTTTTAATTATCACGTGTCTTCAACATGCTTTTCTGAGGAAAGCTAACAAGGAGCCAAGGTCTCTATGCTTAAGCTTTGAAGGTTTAGGGGCTTGACTATATTATAGGACATCTTTTTTTATCTCTCTTAATATCAACGGGTGTTTTGGAGTTGGTGTACTTTGTTCTTTCTACTTTTATTCTTCACTCGAACTTGTTTGACCATCGAAGATTTCTCTCTTGGTATATACTCAAGGCGTGCGACATCTAGTTTTCCTTTTTTTTTTTTTCCTTTTATTGCTGGTTGTGGAGCCTACAACAGTTGGGCATATTCTACCAGAGACTAGCACAAATGAAGTATTTATATTGAGTTCTATTGGAATGTGGTATTGAATTATGCACAGTGACGCTAGCTAGAACAGTGGTATTGGGAATTGGAAATTGGGCCGTCTAACTCTTTGTCTGGATATCCAGAAACAACAGCAGCAGCATCTTTCAGCGTTGAACACCTTCAGCCCAAATCAAGAAATGGCTTACGTAGATCATGCATTCTCAATTTCAGATGAGGACATGATGATGGAGACCACTTATACTGTAAATAACAGGCCCCCAATCAGAGAAATTGCCCTTGCTGTATCTCTTCTTGTTTTTGGAAGCATTGGCATAATCTTGGGCATTATCATGGCTTCCTACAAAGTTGGTGGCGATCGAACCCATGGTACACATAAGCACAGATACCACTTTTCTGGCAATTTTATTTCTCTTTCATTTTCTTTATCAGAATCACACGATTTATTCTTGTTAACTAAAATGGTTTTTCCAGGGGTGTTCTTCACAATCTTAGGGTCAATCTTGTTCATTCCCGGATTCTACTATACTCGCATTGCTTATTACGCATACAAGGGGTATAAAGGTTTCTCGTTCTCCAACATACCACCCGTGTAGAGCCTCCACCTGTCATTCTATGATGACAATGCTGCTCATCATGTACAGATCTGTCTCCCCCCCTTTTCTTGTTTCTCTTTTGATATGTTTTTATGAGCTTTAAGCTTTGTCTGGGGTACTTCATTAGTATATAGACTTTTGATGTTCCATGAACAAGCACAGAGTGTACAAACAATATCTCGTTGCAATATACTAGACTTGTGACATCATTCTCTTTTCCAGAGGCTATGTTTGGCACTTTCTTTGGACTCATCATTAGAACTGAAATCTCATTTCTCTCTCTGTTTAAACTAAAGCTGTTACCAACGTTATTGAGCTCCCATCCGTGCATACATTGTGCCGTTTCAAGGATGAAGGACTCTTGTGCTAATTTTTGTGCTTTTCGTAATTCATCTTTCACTTCTTTTCCATTTTGTAACTCCATTTCCATGTTAACAGTCCGACTTGCTTCGCTGCATTACTGCACTCATTGAACTGAAGTTGATATGCTTCACAATACTGATTTGAAGGGGCAATCCATCATCTCTGAAAACTTCCAAACCATATCAAAGCTATTTGATTAAGATCTGAAAACCATGGACAAGAAAAAATAGATTTTTTTTCCTTTGGCTGAAAAAAAATGTGTGTGGAGTGATGAGCTGAGACAGAGCAGAGAAGCAGTATTAGAGCGGAGGCGAGCTGGCTGAAGGTGGAGAACCGAAGTAGAAGAGGGAAACTAAATGAGTTCTTTTGAGAGAGCTGAGTAGTTGTAGCATCAGTTTCATTTTAACTGGAGAAACAATGAAAGCTAACATGGTAAGGGAAGCACTATGCCTGTTCCGGTTTGGTTAAGATGTTCAAGCACCGGCTTTGAACTGTTTTTCCAAAACCTCTCGAAAGCCTCTCCGAACCTTCAGTTCGACGGTTCAAATCATTTTTAGGTCATCCGAGGAACACGGGAAGAAAATGACTCGAAGCGGATCCTGTCTTTGCATCAAGCCTAAATGTTTCTTGTCGAATGAAAAGATAAAGGTGGGCGGCTGCCAAAGATTCTTATATCTTTATGCTCTCCTTGTTCGCTTCTGATCAGTGAAGTAAGAGCTCCCTTTTCGGCTGTATTGATCATGCAGCAGACTTCTCTGCTCTCGAGTTTCTTTATTTGTCTACTCGTAAGGCAAATACCATACCGGATCGATATTCTTCTGTAAAGTCCACATTGTACCTCAGGGCAAATGATTGAGCACTCAACAAAAGTTCAATTTTGATGCTTTTGTTCAGTGATATGTCGCAACAGAATCAAATCTTAGACCACCGTATTGTGGATGATCCATGGACTCCGTAAACAAACAAGCCCTTCTATGTGGAATGGTTCTCGCATCTATGTTTCATGTATCATTGACGTGAATTCGTATATTAAATGTACTGCGGTCCCGTGGCTGCACCGTTTCGGTTGGTATCAACAACATGTTCCATCCCTAAATTCAAGCAAACAAAATTAAGAGGATGATAAGTCTCATGACAATCGTACTCAAAATGAAAATTGCGACGTAGTATAGTGTATGTGAATCGACAATACATGAATGGAATTACACAATGAATAAGTCGGTCAACAATACATGATTCGTTAATCCCATTACATAGGGGTAGATAGTGAAGTAACAAATCGAAAAGAAAAATATCATCATGGTTATAGTGCAGAATCTTTTACAAATCAAGTGGTAGATATTTGATCTACATGGAAATTGAATAAAAACAAATCAGGAAAGAATCTCCAAATGATAAGCTCTTGGATGCTCTCCTCGATGTGTAACGTCCATGCTGATTTGTCGAAGATTCTGCACTATAAACCATGCCGATCTTTTTCTTTTTAATTCGTTACTTCAATACTAGACTCTGACAAAGAAAAAAAGAAAAGAAAAGACTCGGACAAGTTTTGTTACACCAAGCATTTCACACCCATTTCTAAGGAACCGCATGAAGAATGTTAATCAGTAGCTGGGTGATGTCGGTCGTCTTGGGTTTACCGCAGCAGATACACTTCAGTATCCCAAGCAGGATGCCTCCGCGGCGGTGTGGTCCGGTGCTATCACCCATCTGGTGGAGAAGTAATGAACAGAGAGGAGAAGATTTTTAAGATGGACTCGAATGGAAGCCGCGACGAGCTATGCAGGGGCTCTTGCCAGATGAAATCTTGTGGAAGGCATTATTAGCTATAAATAGAAAGTTACTGGGCCAGGAAAGGAAAATGCCATGAGCTTCTGTCAACATTTCCATTACAGTTCTGATCATCTTCCCCAACCTTACATGAGATTAAGCTTAAAAGAGCAGAGATTAGTTCCTCTTTTTTCTGCTTTTGCTTCTCAATCTTTGTTTTGCGTGATTGCGTGATGCCAACAGGGATGGGGGATCCACCACATTTTCCCATGTGAACACGATGAAAACCTGCGAGACAGTAAACTTCTGGGCAACATTTCCTCAGCTTTTCTTGTCAGTGCACCAGGTCCCACGAGCCCAATGCATCACACACCATGCGAGCCTCACCTCACACAATCCGATGGTTGTGATGATCCATGAGAAATGACTGACCAAATCATCTGCCGAGCAAGTGAACTTGCAAGCTCATTTGCTGGACGAACATTCCTGCTTGGCACGTGCGATTCATGTGAATGTCATCTTTCTTACTATGGCCATTATTGAAGTGCATGTGTGAGTTTTGTTAGAAAAGTCCCATATCGGATAAGTGATGGAATGTAGAGCAGTTAATATATCCAAGTTGGCCTATAATTCATTGACTTTAAGCTTTTGAGTGAAGATGGATCTAACTAGATATATTGATGGCTCAGACTTGGGCTCTCTCTTGACGATCCCTCCAATCTGCTCCGGTGTTGGGAGCAGACAGGAGCAATTAATATTGTCCAAGTTGGCCCTTAAGTTGACCATTAGCTTAAACTTTTGAGTGAATGTAGGTCTAACTAGATATGTTGACGGGCTCGAACTTAGACTCTCTCTTAGCGATCTCTCTGGATGAAGGTATTCGGCTCTCTCTTGGCAATCTTCCCTTGGTATTTTCACATTCTAAAGTCTGTGAAAAAGAGTGATGGCAAGTTCAAGAATTGTGTTGAGCAACTTCATTCCATGGCAAGGCAAGTTTGGCATTATTTGCGTGACGCCCTGGATTTAACTGACTTGAGGTATTGCCTGCTTTGACCAGTCTCATATCAAGCCTCACGGTTTTTTTCTTTGGTGTACAGACAGACACTTTCTCAAGAGGTCACTTATTAGTAGTGTTCTAGCCTGGGCTTGCTTAACTTTGGAGTTCCAAAGCAAAACTTACCGTTACGTCAAAAGACACCTTCGTAAGTTAATTCTAATTTTCGCATATATATCTTAAGATCGCTCCCACCCTTGTTGGACCGGGTTGTTACAAACCCACCAGCTTCCACCTGGTTTGTCTCCAAACCACACACCTATTGGAGGGGGTTCCGCTCTGATACCATATTTTGACAACCTAAATTTACCTCACTCGAGATATTGTCTGCTTTGACTTATCCTATACCGAGCCTCACAATTTTGTTATTTGGCATACATGCAGTCACTTTCCCAGGAGGTTACCCATTCTAGTAGTGCTCTAACCTAGGCTCATTTAACTTTGGAGTTTCAAAGCAAAGCTTGCCGTTACGTCAAAAGGTGCCTCCATGAGTTAATTCCAATTTTTACATATATATCTTAATATCGTTCCCCCCCGTTCGGTGCACAGTTCAATTCATTTCTGCCCCCTTCCTCATCCTAAAAGCCTGCCAAGAGCCGCTCTTGTCTAAGCCCTCTGGCCCCGGCGACCACTCCCCGCTCTCGGATCGTTACAATTTGTCAATCGAATATACCTTTTGTATCTATTTGCCTCGACTTACCAAATAGAGACGGAGTACTAATTTGGTCAGACAGAAAGAGAACTAAGTGCGAAGTGAAGTGACCTAATGTAGAGTCCCGTTACCATTACAATTTCACTTTTAGCTCAATTGCAATTGAGATTTAAGATTTTCAACTTGCACACGACCCACATAAAAATTGCGTGTCGTAATCTTGAACGTAATGCGGTGTGCCTTTTGGGTTTCGAGGATAGTTTGGGAAGCAAAATAATCAACATAGGATTTAAATACATGCATGGCCCAATGCACCTTAATCCCTGCCGGCATTTGCGCACGTCATCACACCATATGAGAACACTAAGAGAAAGCTGAAACCCAAGACAACCAGGAGAGAGGGCACATTTGCATTGGGAAAAGTGTCGGAAAAGTCCTAAATATTTTGCATTTATGCAAATTCAGTTATAAATATTTTTTTTGTGCCAATTCAGTCCTAAACATTTTGTCTTTTTGCCAATTCAGTCATTCCGGTTAATTTTGGCCGAATTTTGCTGACGTGGACACCGGTCAACCTACGTGGCACTGCCGGCGATGACGTGGACAAATTTTAATAATATTTTAAGATTTTTCGAATTTTTATATTTATTTCTTCTTTTCTTTTTCTTACCCTTTCTTCTTCCTCCAGCCAGCCTTTGGCGAGCCCCACCTCGCCGGCCACTGGCGAGGGCAGCCTCGTGCTGGGCTGGGCGAGGTTCGCCCTCGCCGGATCCGGCAAGGGTCGAGCCCCATTGGCCATGGGGGAGGCCCGACCTCGTTAGATTCGGCGAGGTCATGCCTCACCCAACCCAGCTTGAGGCCGTCTTTGCGGCCATCCGGCGGGGGCTCGAGCCTTGCGTTGGGCTGGGCGAGGTTCGAGCGTCCCCGGCCACGGGGAAGGCCCAACCTCGCCAGATCCGGCGAGGTCGTGCCTCGCCCAGCCCAGCTCGAGGCCACCCAGCGAGTGTAGCCTCGAGCTGGGCTAGGTGAGGCACGACCTCGCCGGATTTGGTAAGGGTCGAGCCTTGTCGACCATGGGTGAGGCTCGACCTTGCCAGATTCGACGAGGTCGTGCCTCGCCTAGCCGCTGGCGAGGCTCGCCGTCGCTGGCGAGGGCGAGCCTTGCCAGTGGCCGGTGGGGCTCGTCGGCCCTGGACCGGCGACTGGCTGGAGGAAGAAGAAAGGATAAGAAAAAAAAAAAGAAAAAGCAAAAAATCGAAAAAATCAAAAAATATTAAAATATTATTAAAAGTTGTTCACGTCATCGTCGGCTGTGCCACGTAGGCCGGCGTCCAAGTCAGCAAAATCCGGCAAAAAATAGCCGAAAGGAC